TTTTTTCATAGCTAAAACTGCAAAGGAGAAGATGTACCATACAGAAAATAAATTTGGATACTCCAAAAAGTAAACCTATATTTGGAAGTGTGGATAAAAGTCTAGATATAATTAAAATTTATCCTATTTCATGTTTGGTTCATGCCCAATATAGGATAAAGTCGGATATAAAAGGGATATAACCCGAATAAAAAAATCTCATGGGGGAGGTGAGATAAATGTGGATAGGATTTCTCATATCCATGGTATAAAAGCTATATTTCTTGGATAACAAACTTATTAAATTAATAATTAGATATGAAAAATAAATGAATTCTAATACAAAACAAGAAAATTCAAAGTAATAGAAAAACAACAATTTTCATTTTTATTAGTTCCTATTTTTATTTATTTTCTCAAATTTCTTTCTATTCTATAATATATATATATACACACACACACACACACACACACACACACACACACACACACATCTAGTATCTATAGTTATTACATATTTTAGGTATATTAGTATAGTTTATTATTTTAAATTTTTATTAAGGAATGATGGAAGAGAATACAAAAGAAATAAAAAAAGGAAAAGAAATAGAAAAGAGATGGAAATATATTAAAAATAAGTAAATAAAAATGAAGTAACCCATAATTTAAATGAACAAATTCAAATTTGAAAAGGATCTTTCAAATTCTCGAAGAATGAGGGGCGACGAGATTTCTAAAAAAATCCCTACCCTCCATGTCTTTTTCTTTTCCGAATCTCTGATTCATGTTGAAATTTCACAACTTCTCCATAGTTTTTTAGTTCACGTCAAAACTCCTCCTCAGAGAGTCGAAGTCCATTATCCTCCGTAGCTTTGTTGTTCACCTTAAAGCTTCACGGAAGTGGTGAGAGAGTCAAAGCACCAACTTTTCAAGAATTACAAAGGTGAATAATAATGTTTTCTCTCTTCTTGGATTTGACATTTTCTCGGCGATTTACCTCGTCGATATTGCTATAGCCTGTTTACATTTCTTGTCATTGACTAACCTGTGGCTCTAGAATAATGTAACGAACTCTTTTACTATTTGAGATACATTTAATTAATGGAGGTTATCACCGTTTATGCATTTGTGGTTTACTCAACAATGAATAGTGAGAGATTCCTACCATCTCTATTTCCTGTGATTCACCAAACAATAGATTAGATATAGCAAAATACTTCATATATTATCTTATTTAGTTTTATCCTGACTAAAATTCCAAACACAGTCTAAAAGGACTTATTTCGCCAGAATTTGCGTCCGTGATGAAGTACCTTTCATTGAAAGTCATTCTTTGGCTTTCATTAAAGGAGAGAGGTTATGTGGCAATTCTGGACATGAAATATCACAGGTACACAAGAAACCGATAACTTCACTTCAAATGGAAATGAAAGTACACAAATTTTGCCAAAATTAAATCGACGACAAAGCTTGAAGACATAAAAATGCAACGCAGAATTTAATCAACAACCAAGCACCTAGAAACTACAGCAAGGATACACGCTAGAATTTATTCTACGACGAAGTATCTGGAATCCACATCCTTGGTTGTCGATACTATACTCTTCAAGTTATTGACATTTATCTTCAAGAGATTAAATATTCCCGAATATCACTACTGATCAAGTTGTCTTACTGTTCTTTTCATCAATGACTTTTACCTTTCATCAAAATCTACTCTCATCGACTAATTTTATCATTTGTCCATAATAACCAAAATTGGTTCTTTTTTGGTGTAAATGGGAGTAAAATGGTGATTTACATTTAGAGACTTGTATAAGCAAGAGCCACATGTTAGTAGCTGATGGTGGCTCAATAATTTCCAGCAAATTTGAGCATAAATTTGACTAAAGAGCCTAAATTATCGCGCAACGATAAGAATCATAACCAAAGAAAGGAAAAAGGTCAAAAAAGTGCTCTTCCAAAAATTTAGGGATCGTGAATGTGATTTCCCTAGTAATTAATTATGGATCTATCTATTACCGTTGATGTGTCCAAGGATAATATATAAGATCTCATAAGGGGTAGCCTCAATGATTGAGTGTTGTTTCGACCGCATAACTGGTGGAGTTATCTTTGTAGGAACAAAATCACACGCGACACGACATAACACTTTACACGTTATTTCTCAAAAAATAGAAAATTTCGACACGTTAGGACATGTTGTATATTAAATGTATATTTTTATATATACATGATAAATTATCATTTTTTTGATTATTTCAATCAAATTAATTTGATTCAAATTCACAAATAAATAAATAAAAAAAGAGAGCCTAAGAATGAAGTTACACTAAAAACATTAATCCACCATTTATTAATATCATTCATTGTTTTAATTTACAAATTCAACTACGTTCCATTCCAATAATCATCCCCATTGCACCAAATAGACCTAGCATATCAAACTTGCAGGCTATCTTAGAAATAACATAATTGGCAAGCAAGCATCGAGAAAGATAATTATCCTTATTGCAAATAATGAGATGAAAGCGGCAGAGAAGGGCAGAGAGGAGGAGCCCTTGCCCTAACCCCTATTGCAAACGTACAAAAAATACAACCCCTACAACTCAGAAAACATCATTCACGGAAACTCCCAAAAATCACATACCCAACCAAAGAAACAACACCAGAGTACTAAAAAGGGGCGAGGGCAGAACGGTGCACGAGGGCAGAACGGTGCACGAGGGCTACGGCGCGGGCGACAGGGGGATCGCGGAGGGGCCGTTGGTCCCCGGCAGAGCAATCTAACCGTTGCCGGCGCTGTTCCACATGGCTCTTGGTACACGGAGCTGTGACGCGAGCTAAGCGAAGAGGGAGAAGATCGAGAGGGAAGAATGGCTACTGTCGAGAGTATGTGTGGCCGCGTCGGATGGCAAGATTGTCGTAAGATGAGAAGAGTCGTGGAGTGAGGGAGGGCCGGAGGCAAGGCTGAGAAGACTAGGGTTTCTTTTTTCTTTCTCCCGTTTTTTTTTTCTTTTTATATATATATTTACATTTTGACCCCTAATTTTTTGAAAATTTATAAAATTGATCCGTGCGTGTCGGAATCGCGTGTCGGGATTCCGGACTCGTGTGTCGGCGACGTGTCCGGCGCGTTGACCGCGTGTCGGATTTTCGACACCTATTGACCTCGTGTCGGACACATGTCACGTGTCGGATACCGATACGTTGGCCTCCTGAACGTGTCTGTGCTACATAGGGAGTTATAATCCCCCGGGACAAATGCCCCGATCTTACTTGGCGGAGGGAGGGAGTGACCTCGCGCTACCTCGGGAGTTTCCCTCGATGGCGTAAATTCCTGGGAAAATTTCAAATAATGACATAAAATGATGCCGTTTTCTGAAAAAAGGTACGAAGTGAAAAGATTGGCCATCTCGATCTCAAATAAGGGCCCTTGACCAGAAAAAAAAAATCTCAAATAAGGGCCAAACTCACTAGATGACCAAATCTTATTCGCTATCAGGGGCATTTTCGCCAAAAGCTTTATTTCTTTCTTGTTTTTTCCTATCTTCCTCCTCATGCCGGGTCCTTCGCTCTGCATCAGCTCCCTCTGACTCCATTATTCACTCCGACAATAAAATCCTCCCCAACCGTGACTTCAGTATCGGCTTCCCAATATCGCCCCGAAAGGCCCGCGATGATGATGAAGTTGAGAATTGTTGTCAAAGGATAGGATCTTTGGTGTCATGGCTCCGGCGGTGACTGATGATCGTCACGTCGCTGATTCCTCTTCTACTACATAAGCTCAAAATTCAGTTCAACTCTCTCATCAAACTCCTCCGATTTCAGAGAGCTCGAAGGGCGCGATTCCAACATCCCCTCAAATTTAAGGAAATGTGGCATTAAAGGGATGAAATTGTTCTAAGTCTTCACGTAAATCGATAATTTAAGTCTCTAGCTTCTGAAAACCCAAGAAATCAAGAGGCTGTTCTTCACCCCTAAGTCACAGCTCAGGAAGCTGTTCGACCAACAGTTCCCAGGCGTCCTGAGGATTTCTTCGTTGGAGAAGGTCACCGGCGGCGCATAACTTCAATCCGGCTCCTCGTCGCCAAGATTGATGAGAGCTTGCGCGAGAACGCGAAGCTCACGAGCTCGCTGGTGGGGAGGTTGATGATGCTGTGCAAAAGGGAGGTGATGCAGAGCGAAGCACCAGATGCGAGGAAGATGAAAGAAAAAAGAAGAAAGAAAGAAAGAAAAACAAATGGAAAATGAGAGAAGAGAAAAAAAGAAAATGATAAGGAAAGAATATAAAAGGCTTTTGACGAAAATGCCCCTGATTGTGAATAAGATTTGGTCATATAGTGAGTTTGGACCCTTATTTGAGATTGAGTTAGATACTTATTTGAGACAGTGTCCACTTCAGACTTTGAGAAAATAACCTCACTTCAGAATCTTATCTGAAAATTTTCCTAAATTCCTCGTGATTGTATCTCTATATATATAAGGAAATTCTTGCTATTGTCCTTTCTATTTCAAAATTCCAAGGAGATTTTTTAAATCAAAAATTTTTGCTAAGAATTGATTGCAAATCTGCAAAAAACGTTTTGCAGAAAGATGTTCAAAATATTGCTTCTAAACAAATTTTTGCTAGATGGCAAGCAATTTTATCTGTTTTTGATTTTAGTATAGAATTCTTCGAATTCTCTTCCAGATTTTCTCACAAGGGAATTTTTACAGGGAAAATGCCTCTCAAACCTCCCAACAAACCCACAAGGAGAGACAAAGGCAAAGAAATTACCGAGACCTCCTCAGAACAAAAACGTGTATATATATATATATATACAAGGAAAAGGCATATATAACCTCCTCCGCTGGAGTTTCTAGCCAAAAAATAAAAAAAAAAATAAAAAGAGAAGTCCTCGGCTTCCTCAAGCAAAAGGGGATATATATTTTCCTGAATCATTTCGAGTTCCTTCACCCTTGAGAGTCAAAACTTCGAAGGAGAAATAAAAGTCAGAGTCTGTCAGCGCAAGGAAGAGATGCATCGTCTCGTTATTCGCAACTATATCGCAGCGCTTGTCGCTCCGATCCTTCTCTCTGTGCTCGCGTACAAGCTTCTCGATAAGAGGAGAGCAAGCGCACACAGAAAAGCGGAAGACCCGAACCCTGGGGCGCCTGCTCTGTTAATCCTGCCAATTCAAAGCCATTACGACGTGTTCTTGAGCTTTAGAGGCACCGATACTCGCCGAGCCTTCGCCGATCTCCTCTACTGCTGCCTCGTCGATGCCGGAGTCCATGTCTTCAGAGACGATGGTGAGCTCCGCCCAGGCGAGGACATCGGCCTGGAATTTGTGGAAGACATTAAGAACAGTAAGATTTTGATCCCAATTATCTCCGCGAATTACGCTGCCAGCAAATGGTGCCTTGACGTACTAGTTCAAATGATGGAGTGCAAGAGACGGTTGTTGCCCATATTCTACAAAGTGGAACGCGCGGCTGTGCAGCATCAAGTCGGTAGTTTTGGAGAGGCATTTCGTTATTATTGTAACTGGAGGCGTTTCGACCAAAGGGTTGTGGAGGAATGGAAGCAAGCGCTCGAAGAAGTCAGTCTCTTACAGGGATGGGAATCAGAGAAAGATGCTGATGGGTACTTCATTCTTTAACGCACACCTTGTTTATGCCCAAGTTCTATTGTGTGGTATCATTGGCTAATAGTTATATTATTAAACTCATTTTATTTGATAGGCATGAAGGAGAATTGGTAAAATTGGTCGTCCAAAAAGTTTTGAAAGAGTTGAAGACAGGGGCGATGCTGTTGTATACTATGGAGAATTTGGTCGGAATTGATAGTCGTGTGGAGAAGGTTATGGAATTGATAAATAAGAGTTCTAGTGAGACTCTGTGTGGGAATTCATGGAAGGGCTGGCATTGGTAAGACCACTCTTGCTAAAGTCATCTACAACAAGCTCTTAATTCTATTTGAGCATCATAGCTTCATTGCGGACGTTGGAGAATTATGTAACCAAAAAGGTATTGAGCACTTGCAAAGCAAGTTAATCTTTGATATACTGGGAAAAGATTATCAGTTGCATAATAAGGATGATGGAATTAACTTTATCTCATCCAAGTTTAAAGATAAGAAAGTCCTAATTCTTCTTGATCATTTGGATACAACTAATCAGTTAGAGGCTTTGGTTGGAAATCCTAACTGGTTCGCACCTGGAAGTAGGATCATTATCACCACCAGAGATAAGAGTGTTCTTGATAGGGGTGGAGTGGACACCACATACGAGCCTAAGGAAATGGATGAGAAGCAATCTCTGATCCTATTTTCTAGACATGCATTTCGAAGAGACTCTCCTCCAAGTGAATTTTCTACTCTCTCTCGTCTTGTGGTCTCTACAGTAGGAGGGATTCCCTTAGATCTGGGGGTTGTAGGTTCATTTTTGTGCGGAAAAACACAAGCAATATGGGCAGATACAATAGAGAAGATGCAAAATTCGGCTCATTGGGCAGTGCGAGACACGTTGTGGATGAATTATGAAGCATTGGAGGATGATACAAAACAAATATTTCTGGATATTGCTTGTCTTTTAATTGGGAATGATGCAAGAGTTGCATCCTACATGTGGGATGCCTGCGGCTTTTATCCAAGGGTAGGAATTGAAGTGCTGAGATCTTTGTCATTCATAAATATTGGCGATAATCATGAGCTCGGAATGCATAAGCAAGTGAGAGATCTTGGTAGGGAAATTGTGCGTAGAGAAAACTACAAACCTCACGAACGTAGTAGATTGTGGGATTACGAGGAAGCCATGGAAGTGTTAGAGGGAAATAAGGTAACGTCATATTTTTTTTCTTTTGCTTCTGAAGTCTATGTTCTCTTGTTTTAGATGATGTTAGTCCTCTAATTAATGTCAGTTGAGTTTCAGTGAACACGCTCTTCCATTTTATTATTTAATTGACGTGATCAGGAGCAAGGAGGTTGCTCTCTCTTAGTAAGTGTTGCGGTTTCTTGTCAAATTTCTGCCTTTGAAGTTTAGAAAGTCATTACCATTAACAGGGAACCCATTCATGAACATAATGTAGAAAACTGACCAGCGAATACTTAAATGTAGATTTTTCAGTGTCTATATTGAGAGAAGCAGAATACTGACCCAGGTAATTAAAAGGTATGCTTTATAATTAAGCCTAATGTAACTGAGGTGAGTCTTATCTCTCTTATGGTTGTCAGCTGACATCTATGATCTTGTCAACTAAATCCAAGATACCAACCAAAAAAAAACTAAATCCAAGATAATCATCCTCGTTAATTTTGAAATTTAGTTAATGCAACTGAAATGGAATATCAGTCATCCTCATTGATTTAGTAAGTTATACTTTGGTTGTTTTGTGGTATTCGTAATTCACCTGTTCCTGCTCCGTTAAATGTCTTCTTAAAGACTTTGACAGCAGTATTTAGGGAAGAGAAAAGGGTAAAACCCCTAAAAAACAAAGTCTCTTCCTTTATGTGATCGTATAGATGGGTGTGCTCTTCTTTGTGCAACTAGTTAGAGAGCACACATTTTGTTTGTACTAAAAGTAGTTACGAAAACAAGTAAATAAAAAATAACGTGTGAAGATTTTATTTATTTTAGAATGACAATTTCCCATAGTTGTGGATTGAAAATATTTTAAAAATTGATTGCAGGAAGTGTCAGTGAAATTGACGAAGCACCTTGTAATTATCTCGATAACTTCTATTAGTGTTTAATGTATTTCTTAATAACGAAACTAATAAATTGCATGAACTTTTATGGAAATTTTTAGTTATAAGTTTGGAACTGAAATTTATATCGAGCTTTCTATAGAAAAGTAGGCTTACGAGATCAAATTGATATAATTACATTGAGTTGGTTAGATGCAATATTTTTGAGCCTTGGTTTTTTCTCGTAGGGTACTAATATAATTCAAGCCATTTGTTTAGACAAAGGCAACTCAAAGAGAATTGCTGACGAAGGCAACTCAGATGATATAATTGGTCAAGGGAGCTGCGAATTTACGGGTGAACAATTTAGAAACTTACCGAGCTTGCGGTTACTTCACATGAGTGATGTGAATATTACTGGAGATTTTAATGAAATATTTTCCAAGTTAAGATGGCTCAAATGGGGGAAGTGTCCCCCAACTTTCGCAGCAAACAACTTACATGTAAGGGAATTAGTCATACTCGATTTGTCAGGAAGCTCGATTTCAGATGACTGGCAAGGATGGCGTTCAATGATGGTATGATAACAAACACTTTTTTTGTTCATTTCTCTTGAGTAGAGAACAACTCCCAGCTGAACCATACGATATATTTTATCTTACAGATGGCAGAAAAGCTGAAGGTTCTCAACCTTAAAGGTTGTTGTTCTTTAAAAAGTACTTTCTACCTCTCCGCTTTTAAAAGTTTGGAGATTTTGATCCTCAGAGATTGTGACAAATTAGAGCAAATTGATCCTTGTATTGGAGACGTGGAGACTCTCGTTTCCCTGGACTTGAGTGGATGTACGTGTCTTGTGAAGCTGCCGCCTCAAATGGGTAAACTAGAACATTTGAAGGAACTTCTTCTAGATCAAACTATGATAAAAGAAATTCCTTCCTCCATCGGTTATCTACAAAAGCTAGAGACGCTTAGTGTGAAGGATTGTAAATTATTGCTCGAACTTCCGGACTCGATAGACCATTTGGAGAATTTGCGGTGCTTTTTATTGGGACGCTGCCACCAACTGAGAAAGATCCCCAATTCAATTGGGAAGTTGGCATTTCTAACTCAATTGGATTTGTCGTGGACGATGATCAAGGAATTACCTGAATCGATAGCGGATTTGCAAAATTTGGATGTTCTGGATATTGGTCATAGTGATATAGAAAAGCTACCGGATGGTATTGGAAGGTTGAAGAAGCTAGGGATGCTTAGTGCCAAGGATTGCAAATTATTGCTCCATCTTCCAGACTCAATAGGCCGTTTGGTGAATTTGCGATGCTTATCATTGGAACGCTGCCACCGATTGAGAGAGATCCCCAGCTCAATTGGGGAGTTGAAATTGTTGAGTCAACTGAACTTGAGTGGCTGTTTGTGTCTTGAGGTGCTACCGTCTCAAATGGGTAAACTAACACAATTGAAGGAACTTCTTCTAGATCAAACTATGATACGAGAAATCCCTTCATCCATCGGTTGTCTAAAGAAGCTAGAGGTGCTTAGTGCCAAGGATTGCAAATTATTGCATCGACTCCCAGACTCGATACGCCATATGGTGAAATTGTCGACCCTTGTGCTATCAGGCTGTGTTGAGCTTGCGGCACTTCCAGACAGCGTTGGGTTCCTTGTGAATCTGCGGTGCTTATCATTGGGGCAATGCCACCGATTGAGAGAGATGCCCAACTCAATTGGCAAGCTCAAATTGTTGACTCAACTGGACTTGAGTGGATGTTTGTGTCTTGAGGAGCTGCCGCCTCGAATGGGTAAACTGGAACAATTGAAGGAACTTCTTCTAGATCAAACTATGATACGAGAAATTCCTTCCTCCATCGGTTCTCTAAAGAAGGAACTTCTCCTAGATCAAACTATGATACGAGAAATTCCTTCCTCCATCAGTCATTTAAAGAAGCTAGAGAGGCTTAGTGCCAAGGATTGCAAATTATTGCATCGACTTCCGAACTCAATAGGCCGTTTGGTGAATTTGTCAACCCTCATCTTATCAGGCTGTGTCGAGCTTGCGGTACTTCAAGACTGCATCGGGTTGCTTGTGAATTTGCGTTGCTTGTCATTGGGACGTTGCCACCGATTGAGAGAGATCCCCAACTCAATTAGGAAGTTGAAACTGTTGACTCAATTGGACTTGAGTGGATGCTCGGGTTTGGAGGAGCTGCCTCCTCAAATGGGCAAACTAGAACAATTGGAGGAACTTTTCCTAGATCAAACTATGATACGAGAAATGCCTTCCTCCACTTGTCATCTAAAGAAGCTAAAGACGCTTAGTGCCAAGGATTGTATATTATTGCGTCGACTTCCGAACTCAATAGGTCATTTTAGTGAATTTGTCGACCCTTGTCTTATCAGGCTGCATCGAGCTTGTGGCACTTCCAGACAACATCGGGTTCCTTGTGGAATTGCAGTGCTTGTCATTGGGACACTGCCACCAATTGAGAGAGATCCCCGACTCAATTGGGCAGTTGAAATTGTTGACTCAACTGGACTTGAGTGGATGCTCGGGTCTGGAGGAGCTGCCTCCTCAAATGGGTAAACTAGAACAATTGGAGGAACTTCTCCTAGATCAAACTATGATACGAGAAATTCCTTCCTCCATTGGTCACCTAAAGAAGCTAAAGACACTTAGTGCCAAGGATTGCATATTATTGCGTCGACTTCCGGACTCAATAGGCTGTTTGGTGAATTTGTCGACCCTTGTCTTATCAGGCTGCGTCGAGCTTGTGGCACTTCCAGATAGCATCGGGTTCCTTGTGGAATTGCAGTGCTTGTCATTGGGACACTGCCACCAATTGAGAGAGATCCCCGACTCAATTGGGCAGTTGAAATTGTTGACTCAACTGGATTTACCTGAATCGATAGAAAATTTGAAAAATTTGGAAGTTCTGGATATTGATCATAGTAACATAGAAAAGCTACCAGATGGTATTGGAAGGTTGAAAAAGCTCTGAGAGTTATATGCTTGATGGTGCTCAAAATTGGGACGGGACTGTCCAAGAATCTGTAATCTTTCTTCTTTAAATCTAGTGTATTGGTTTAATTTAATGCCCAACAACAATCTAGAATTCTTTTGGAAATTTTTTTCAAAATGAGTCGTTTGTGGTTCAGGTTTGCGTCTTCATGCTGAAGTAGAAGCTTTACTGTCATTTCTGGTCTCTATTCAAGCTCTCATGGTGATGATACTGTTGTCTGCGCAGCTTCCTTTAATAGCTCTCTGTCTGCTTCTGATGCTTGGAAGATTATTAGAAGCAGTGTTGAATCACTTGGTGATTCCTAATGTCTAGAAACAAAGTTTATATTGTATCAGCAAGTGCATTCATATGAATTCTCACTCGTTAAACTTCCTACTTCTGGTGACAAGTTTTAGAGCTGCGCTTCATTAGTAAAGCTAGTGGATGTTGTCCTGGTGATTCTCGGGTTAAGAAAGAACTAAAACGGTTCTTATTTTTGCAAAGTTGCTCTAAAAGTGGCACGGAGTGGATGTTTCTACTACATCTGGAAGTCTCAGAGTAAGGCTTTTCAATTATTCCAGTTGAAAATTGTGATGTAAGGATTATATAAGTTCGCTACTAAAACCAGATATGAAAATGTTTTGGGTATGAAGAATGACGCAGCTGGTTACAAGGAGATTGGATCTAGTCCTGAGAATGCTTGATTGATAAAATAGCTGACTTCTTGGTCCATGACCCCCTTCAGTCACTACGAATGCTGCCATCAATACAGTGGAATGCGACTTCTATGCATTTGAGATTGTTTACATATTAGGATATTAAGTTCAAAATGATGTTATTTGATAATTTCTAAGAACAAATGCTCAATAATTTGTAATTGCTCCTTGTCGTTGTAAATTTTGGTACTGTTTTCATGGTTTCATGTTGCTCAACTTCCCAATCCCTGGTCAGTCTAGCATGGTGCTCTTCCTGTATTAAGACTCTTTTCGGATGCCTTGATTCAAAGAATTGCCCCTTCTTGTCAGTGTTCTAACGGTGGCGTGTCTTGAAATCAGTTCACTCATGTGGCATCACGCATGAGCTAATGATGTGCATCATCACAGTTAAGATGGTAGCATCTGAACTGAATGAATGCCATGGAAGATAAAAATTATCAACAGAGAAGCCAAGCCTGTATTTTTTGAAAGTTTTAGGATTCAATTACACTTTCGTGATAAATTTTAAGACTTACAATGCACTTATCCCTATTTTCTTTTTTAAAAAACCCGGTCACCATGACTTTGGCTACGTCGAAAAGCTTATGACTCGATCTTTAGCGTGGAATTGATCTAGCGGAGAAGAAAACCAAAGTGCCTAATTTATAAATACAAAGGCCTTGTTCTTGCTCCCGAAGAGAATATGCGATATTCGACCAACAAAAGAGAAGAGAATATGCCATAAATAAAGTTCTTTTTCTAACTAAAATAATTCAAATAACACTCTCTTTTCTTTTCTATTTTCTTTTTTTCTTTTTTGGTCTATGACCTTCCGATATACAGGTAACCCAACTAATCCGGAAGCGAGCACTGTCGGACCCACAAGGGAGTGGCTCTCCCAACGCCGTTTGCTCCATACACAAGGCTCGAACTCGAGACCTTGCATTCTCTTTTCTTTTAGAATGCATTTTTGTACACACGTATGCATTTGTTTTGCTGGTAAATAGATAATTGATTCCTCAATTATATATTAGGACGTGGACCACATCGCTCAGTCAGTGCATCCAGACAAGAAACAATAGATTATAACTTTACGTACCGAGGGACCATTTTTTTTTCTTTTTCTTTTTTGTAATTGACTCAAAAGTAGTAAGAACGTGCCGGCACGTCATTCACTTTTATTTTTTCATGCCACAAAAGTTGACTGTGCGTTGGGAGGTGGCCGCCTACCATTCGGGTATGGCGGTATTGACTAGAGGATGAAGATGAAGCTGAGGGTGTTTATGGTAAAGAGCAAGTGACCGAGAAACAATCTGAAACGTGGCCCACAGGACACGTGGCGAACGATGAGCGAGGGAATCGTCGCTGCCGTGACAGCCGGGACTGCTCAATATTTTCTCTCATGGTGGTGGCCACCGTACCCCTTTCAATGCATTAATGCTTGGAATTTTTAACTTTCCTTTTTTATTTAATTTCTTTTCCAGGTAGACTTCTCTCACTCCACGACAACTCCTTCCAGTTCCTTCCTCGACCTCTGCAGATTCCTTCCTCGCTCCAAATCCCTTGATCCCTTCTTAGTTCTTCCTTGTTCAAAGTCAAAGGCCACATCTTTGAATACCAAAGTTCTGTCAAGACTCAACCTTTAATTAGCTTCTGAAACACCCAATTTCACCTTCCTTTTGAATCAGATTCCTTTTGTTTCTGACTATGAATGGGTAGTTAGTAGCAAGCTCTCATTCACAACTTCCACGACAGTTTCTTCTGTTCTTCTGTCCATCTTCAATGATATTGGTGCATATAGTGGCAAAAAACGAAAAAAACTATGCTCTCCATCTCTGTCCTTTAAAGAACAGTTTTACCCTATCCTATTCATTAAAGAAAATAGTATCAGTCAAAGGTATACTCAATATTTCTGGGAAGGACATCAAATTCGAGTTTTTGACTTTATGTTAGTATATATAGATAACACTTAGGATTTCAATAGAACTTTAATCCACAGAAATTCCAGAATTCTAATTCCTCATAATTTGCAAAAGCTAATTCCTTCTTGTGGATTACTATGATTCCGAAAAGTACTTTTATGTAGAATATATTAAGTTTATGTTCATATTTTGAGATCAATAAAAAAAAAAATTTGGTGAAAGAGATCAATAATTTCGAATGTACTTCTATTGTATTTTAGAGGATGAGTAGCAATAGTAAGGATTTTCGCACGAGGGCAGTCTCGTCTCTTAAAAAAAGAAATTGTGCTAATATTGTGTGTGAAAATAGCAGTTCTCCTAGTATCACGGAAAGTGGGTGGGTCTTTTTCTTTGGGGCCACAGAAAAAAAAAAGTCGTGCAGTGCTGATTAGGAGAGCTCTCATTATCTCAGTATGTCAATTTTTTCTCCATTGATTCAATTTGTCTAATTGAATCAGCTGGCAGCCAGAATCGTATCAATAATTCAAATTTGTCAAGCAAGATTGATAATTCATTGACGGAAAACAGTGACCACGCGCTTATAATCGTTGCCTTCATGTGGTGGAAATTTCAATACACAAAAGAATCCAAGGCAATCCCTGCCAAGGAAGAAGACAATATCTGAGGAAATTTCCATGCAGAAGCAATGGAAAGAAATAAAACGAAACATAAGAAACGAGTGCTGTCATATCATACGTCAGACATGTGGCCAGAATAGATTAATACTAACAAGCGTAAGGACCGTGATGACGGCAACATTTTAGTCTAACACCTTCCAAGACGGTAAAATCCAGTACGACTAGAAAAAGCTCCTCCCTCTCTTCCCTCGCGGCCATCAACATTGTCAGCAAAATCTCCGCTGCTCAGTCCCTGTATATATTGGTCCCCTCCCTCTCAATCCCAGCAGAAGGCACTAAAAGCCAAAATGAACATGCGATCAAGTTAGACCTATTAAACGAGTGAGTCGGATCGAATTTAGATCGAATCATAAATGATCTGATCTAAATTGACCCATTAATTCGTTTTTGATTCATTTTATTTGTAATGTAAATATCCCGATCTATACCCGACCCGATCCATACCCAACCCGACTTTTGCTAAAACACTTATATATTTAACTAAATATAGGAAAACTTATTTCTTATGACTTTTTTTAAAAATTATACTACTAAAACAATTTCATACAATACAAATTTTAATTATTTTAATATTTTTATTTTTTAAATCCAATTTTTAATCATTTTTAATTTTTCCTTTATTTTTGGCCGATGGCCGGCCACGACGACGGCCGGCGTCCGGCCACGAGCGAGGACGAGCTCGCCAAAGGCCGGCGAAGCTCGAGCTTGCTGATCTAACGAGGCCGAGGCCTTGCTGGCCTTAGGCGAGCCTCGAGCTCACCCGATTCTGGCGAGCCAAGCCTTGCCAACCTCGGGCGAGCTCGGCCTCGTCGGCCTGTGGCAAGACTCGAGGTCACCAGCCCCTCGCCTGAGGCCGGAGAGGCCTCGGCCTCGCCAGAGTGGCGATCTTGAGCTCGCCCGAGGCCGGTGACCTCGAGTCTCGCTAAATTGGCGAGGCCGGAGCCTCCCCACAGGCCGGCGAGGCCTTAGGCAAGCTCAACCTCGCCAGCCTGTGGCGAGGTCGTTCCTCCCCTGTGGCCGATCGCCGGCCATCGCCGGCCGTCGCCATGGCCGGCCACTGGCCGAAAAGAGAAAGAGAAAAAAATAAAAGAAAAAAGAATGAAAAGAAAAGAAAAAAAATCAATTTTTAAAAAAAATATTTATATAAAAAGGGGGTGGGCTTAATGAGTGGGTTAGAAATAGGTTCCACACTCAACCCATTAAGATCCATTTATGATAAACTTAAAACTTTAAGACCCATTTAAGATGGGCTCTTCAAAGTTGTATTAACCCATTTATGATCCATTTAACAGGTCTAGATCAAGCCAAGCCCATCTCTGGCCTGATCACACCCACAATCATCTCCTGAAACGTTTATTCTAGGGGCTGCACCGTTTACATGTTAATACACAACCGAAAGTTCATATTCTCCATGACAAAAGTTAAAAGTCCAGGACAATTTTAATAGCAAGTGCAAAGTTTAAGATTCCGTAGAACATTAGGCTAATATAATTTGGAAAATTCACATTTTCCAAAAAGAATTTGTTAAAAGAAAATTAGAATTGTCTAGATTTTCACACTTTTAAGGTATCTATTTTCATAGATCTATTTATTCACTTGCTAAATGTTAAATTATGATTTGGTCATGTCACTTAATATATCAATTTTAATATACTTATTAGCATTAATCGTAAATATTCTAGACTTATTCGTCAAATTTCAAATGATGAAAAGTGTGTGCCTACGTGAGTAAAGGTGCACATTTTTTTTAACAAAATTGAAAAAAAATCCGCATATCACTAGCAATTTTAGTAAAAAGCGCCATTAAGTAATATTTAACGTGAAATGGTGATTGTTGAAAACATGTCTCGATTTCGAGCTCGAAAACAAAAACTTTCCTAATTTGAGTGGGTTTTCTATTTGAATATAATTTGAGTAGGTTTCCTATTTGAGTGGTTACCTAGTTTGAGTAGGTTTCCTATTTTAGAACCAAATCTCTTATATATAAGAAGTGGGTCTCTTTGTGAAGAGTTTCCAAGAGAAACTTGTGCTCGTGAAGCACATCTCGAGTGTTTGAAGTTGCGAAATTTTTATGTTAAGATTTACGAATTCTTTATGAGATTAAGAAATTATTTTGTGATGGAATTTTGAGGGCTAAGTACGTGCTTTTACATTTCCATTCTACATAAAATTTAAATGATGTTGGTTACTAGTTCAATACATGACATTTATAAATTTGGACATATATTTGTGTCTTTATAATTAACATTGATAATTGGAGGAACATTTTCGCAAGGCACTTAATGTTTGAGAGTTGATATTGAGACTCTGATACTAATAGCCTCCTCGCTACATGAAAAAGTCCTTACGACCAATTT